GCACCATCCCTGAGTCAGCCCAGCCAACTTTTGTCTCAGCAGCATAGCAGGAGTCAGAACAGAACATTTGTTTGCAGCCTACAAGAGAGAAGCCAGAGGGACAGATAATTCATGTGATTTAGGAGCCACTGCAGGTTATTTTGTCAGGAGCATCAGTATCATGTTGTACAGCTTTTGCCAGTTTTGCTAGGCCGAGTTATGTGCAGGGAAGCATTTGGCACAACTGCACTTTAAATTATTGCATAATGTTGTCCGATACGCTACTACAAAAAACAAGCCATGCTTGTCTGAGGCCTCTCAGTTCCAGCTATTAGAAATGTACAGTCTGAAAACATGAATCAATCTTCTTTTTGCATATACATTTTCTTTGTTGCCTCCTTATTCATAGGGATCTCTAGATTTCAGTTGGAAATTCTATATCCTTGGTCTGGTACAAAAAATTACAATTTGTTTAATTTCTCAACACTCTTCCCAGGCCTCAAACACAGCCTAGCAAGAAGATGGGTAATATTTTGTTCAGCTTGAGAACTGCAGCAGTTGGTAGAACTGCAAAGGATTTTAGCAGGCCTTCCTCTGTCCTTGAGCAGATGTAAGTACCTGCATTGTCCACAGACAGGGTGGTGGGGTTTCTTGCTGTGTCTGTGGGCTTTGGGGGGGAGTTGTTTTGTGCTTTGGTTAGGGGTTTTTTATGTTTTTACTTACAGGGACCTGAAAACCCACAGAATAGGCCAGCTGCTGACCTTCTTGTCTTTACTGGACATCCTACTTGGTGATTCCTCCCATCCTCTCACCAAACCATCCACTTGGCTGTTGCCAAGCTGTCCAGTCTTGTCAAGTGCAGCAAAGTCCAAGAGTAGCCCTGACTTAACAGGTGCACATGTGTGACCAAGCCTGGCTTCACAATTAGGACCTGGCTTCAGCAGCACAGCTCACCCGAGGATGTCCCTTTTCCTGCCCCCCTGCAGCCCAAACACAACACCCATACATGGCTCTGGGGCCACACCACCAGGGGAAAGAATATATGGGGACAGGGTGCTCTGCTTTTGTCCAGAAAAGGTTACTGAGCTTACACTGTGATCCAGCAACCTGTTGTTCCTCAAATCTCCATTCTGCTGGAACAGGTATCCAGGGCAAAACATTCCCCCCTCCTGCCAAAAGAGGAGGCCCCCTGTTCCCTCTGCCCACAGCTACTCTCCCACTGCTTAGTGCAGTGTTTGAGGCAGGAACAGTGCACTTCACCAGGAAACTGAGCCAACTGAGGAAATAAGAGCATGTGTGCTGGGGAGGTTTCTGGGGAAACTGCACCAATTGTGAAATCCAGCTGCCTGCACAGTTGCAGGATCCTGCTGCTGGCACGAGGAAGGCTGGAGATATCCTTACAGGGCAGCATTGTCCTCCCCGTGGCAGCTGAGCCAGAGCACAGGAGCTCTGCCATCAGAAGGCTGGTCATGCTGAGCATTTTGTAGGATCCTGAATCAAATACTCCTACTTGATGCTTCAAAGCCATGCAGAAAAAAAAAAAAAAAGGAAGAAAATACAACCAACCTGGCCGTATCCAAACAGTTTTCCCCACTGTTTTGTTGTGCCACAGGGAAAGGCAGTCTCCACCCACGGCAGAGCAGTAATTTTGAACGGCACTGTCTGAAACTGAACATTTGTGTAAAAGCCCTCGCTGAAACAGCAAAATCTCAGTCCCCCACTGCTGCAGAAATACACCTGTTAGGTGCCACACCTCCCAGGTGAAGGAGAAAAAGCAGGAGAACATTTAGTGCTTTTTATACCAAATAAAATTACAGCCTCCAAATTAGCCAAAATCAGTTGCATTGTGATTGTCTGAGTTGCTGTGATATCAACACAATGGCTTGCAGAAACTTTTGAAATCAAATTGTATGTTTTAACGAGGGGAAAAAACCCACACATCTAAATAAATTCCCACGTGAGCTCTAAACAGCTGCCCGTGTGTTCAGTTAGCCTGCCATGGGCATCGCTCTTCTCCGGGTATTTTCTCCCCAACTTTTGTTGTTTCAGTATCTGTAACAGATTACAGATAAAACAGATAGCCCTAAATAGCTTCCAGGAAAAAAAAAAAAAAAAAAAAGCAAGCAACACTGTTTTGTGACTGATATTTGTCTTCATAACCCTGCATTTCCAAGGTTCAAGTGTTCTATGCCAACAATTCCCACTATTTAGTCACGGTACCTGCATGCTTACATCCAATAAGAAAACCTAAATAACCTTGCAAATAGGGAAATAATCACTAAAATTAAAGATGGAATATACATAAAAAGAAAGACTTGAATTTGGATTAATTTCAGAATACATTAAAGGAAGCAGGTAAACATAAGGACTTGAAATATTGAAAGAGCACAACAGCAGCAAAACAACTAGCAAATGCCTGCTAACTATGTTGCCCTCTCAACCAATGAAAAGGAGCACAATCAGTTTAAGAGATCAGATTCAAGGCTCAAAAGAAACCAGTAAGGTTCTGAAGGAAAACATGGCACGCAGGTTCTTATGAACTGCAAACAGAGTAGAATCAGGACTTTCCAAATGATGCTGAGAACAAAACAGATCTTACTTTCAAGATACATCCCCAAGAAGGTGAATAAAAAGAAACTGTACTTGTTTGTTGCTGATCCCAAAACTGATATAAGAACTGAAACATGTATTTGACAAAGCCCACTATCAGCTCATGGAATCAGGAATCAAAGCATGCAGCCATTTGCAGTGCAAAGTTAAAATGGGGTGCCTTTGCACAGCCTCTGTTGTCCCTGTTGGGCTCAGTGCAGGGATAACCAGGCAGGATTGCTGGGCTGGGACACACAGCAGTCAATTAGATAATGTATTGGCTGCTCAGGGTGCCAAAGCAAATAAAGCAGCTGTAAGGGGATGACTAATACCAGATAGAATGAAATAGCTGCTCTTCACTGACAGTCACTCAATATATTTCCAAACCTGACAGGATCTCAAACGCTACTTTTCATTCTTTAGACTTGTGTTGTGCCAAAACAAACCATCTCAAGATCCCTTTCTCCTTCTTGCCAGTATTTCTTGCCCTTTCCCATCTCACCCCAGTGGGCAAGTGTAAAGCACAGCCAAACCTCGCAATGCACAGCTCAATGGGGATACAGGGCTCTTGGACCAGCCTCTTCTGATCCTTCTGGGCTTTACAGCCCCACCTGGAACCACCCAGAACCTGGGAGGCCTGGAGGTGGCATGGTGCCACCTCCCATGTCCTGCCAGCAGCCTGTGCCTTCCACAGTCCCCACAGCGACTGCAGGAATGGTTACATTCACCTGGAGGCAATAAGCCTCTTCTTTGCCAAAAGCTGTTATCTGTGGAAGCCAAGCCAATGCCACAACACCCAAATTACAGGTTAAAAGCAGCTGAGACTGATTTGAAGTCAATTTAATTAATCCAGTACACCTTTGGTAGAAACTACCTTGCAAGGCCACTGTTCTCAGAGGTTCTGTACTTTCTCCTCCCTTTATTCTAGATCTACATATTTCACATTTTCTTTTTCCTTTTCCCTAGTTCTCCACTCTCATTTGACCCTTCCCCCACTTATTTCGCCCTTGTTACTCTTTGTTTTACTAAGTTTCTACAGTTATTCCTCTCAGCTCCTGTTTCCCATTTCCTAGAAGGAGGCCACTATTCTGGTTTGGTAACATTTTATATCCACCTCACATGGTATGAATCATGCGATCTTCAGAGCAGTGAGGACTCAAGACCCCTGTTTACAGCTGCCAGGTGTTTTCAATGTGGCATATGATCATGCTGTGGGAGCTCCTACTGCATTATTCCATGCAAATAGCAAATACCTCATAGATTAAGTATCATACCAATAACCTACACAGTTTCTGCATAGCAGATTGCATTCCTAGTGGGAAATTAGGAGAAGGGACTACAAGAATTCTGAGTTTAAAGGTGACTCTCCATGTTCAGCTACCTCCTTGTTACCTGCAGTTCCTTCCTGAACAGAGGGGAAGGGCACAGTTCTACCTATAGTGTCAACACTGATTAAACCACATCACAGTTCTTACGTGTCCTTATGCCCAAGATACAAATATGGTGAATCCCACCAGACACTAAACTGAAAAACTGACCTGGATGGAAAGAAAAGACACAAGTAAAAATGCAGATAATTCTTGGTTAGTTTACAGTAAGATTTCTACACAGTGTGCCTCAATGAAATGGGAAGGGGTGAATAAAACAACCTCTTCAGACAGCAAGAGCTGCTCGCTGAATTACACCTAACACAAGTCTGCCTACAGGAGAGTGTCTAGAGCCTTTTAGCGTGCTAGACAAGTACCAGGAAAAGATAAAAGGCAAAAGCATAATAGAATAAAATGAGAACATATGCACTTCTAGGAAGATTCAAGTGGCAATTTGGTCTTGGCTCCTCTTAGCCACTTACAGTGTCATCGCTGCATCCCTCAGTGAAGTGGTGAGTGCCTATCGCTGTGGAGGGGAGGAGGGAGGAGAGGAACGTGAATGGGAAACCAGTCAGGTACCTGCGACACGCCCAGGTGGTCTGTTCAGGACAAGCACACGATGCAAAAGGGTGTCCAAGCATTTAACACACGTGCCCTCCCACACAAAACCTGTTATTAAAGTGTTTTACAGCATCTTCAGAGATAGTGGCTTTTCTTTAGTCCATCTACCGCTCCCTACGCCATCAAGAGAGTTCAGCCGCGACCAGGAGCTTCAAAGCGATGGGATGTTCAAACACCATAGGAAGTACCTTCCAGTCTTTATCGGACGCCTGCACTCGGCCCGTCGGGTGGGAGCGGCCCGCGGGCCGTACGTGCTGCGGGGACCCGACCTCCCCGCCCGAGCGGGGCCATCCCGGAGCACGCGGCTCAGCAGTGCGGCCGGACGGGGCCGGCCTGCGGCTCCCGCGGGGCTCCGGCGGCGGGGCAGGGGGTGGCCGAAGGGCCGGGCCCCGCCGCACCGCCCCTTTCTCACCCGGCTGCACCCCGCCGCGCTCGGACACTCACCGCGAGGCAGCGTCCGGCCCCGCGGGCCCGTCCCGCGGGCGCGCCCGACAGAGCCGGCCCGGGCGCAGCGCGGGCTCGGTTGGGTCGGGCTCGGTTGGGTCGGGCTCGGTTGGGTCGGGCTCGGTTGGGTCCGGCTCGGTTGGGTCCGGCTCGGTTGGGTCCGGCTCGGTTGGGTCGGGTCCGGCCCGGCCCCGCGCTGTGCCCGCCGCCGCACAGCATCGGTAACCACGGCAACCTCAACTCGCCCTGCCATTGGCGGGTTTAACGCGGGGCAGCAGCCAATGGGGCGCGGCCTCTGGGCCCGCCTGGCCAATGGGCGCGACCGCCTGGCCGGGCGGCGCGTGACGCGGCGCGCGGGGCGGGGCGGGGCCGGGGCGGGCGGCGGGGCCGCCACCATGGAGACCCCGGGGTAGGGCGGGCGCGCCCGGCGGGGCCGCTTCGCGCGGTGAGTGGGGCTGGGGGGCTGGAGCGAGGGGGGCGAGCGGCGGAGCCCGCCGAGGCACCGGGGCCGAGGAGCCGCGGAGCCGCTGCCGCCGCCGCCTGGGGCGGACCCGCGCGGGGCCCGCGGGCGGAGCACGGCGCGTCCTCCGCGCCCGCGGGGCCGCGGAGAGCCCGGCAGGGCCGCCCGGAGGGGCCCTGTGGGCGGAGGAGCCGCCGCCCGGGCGCTGCCCCGAGCGCCGCGCCGAGCCCGGGCCCGCCGTTGCGCGCGGGGCGTGCGCGGGCCGGAGCCGCGGGCAGAGCGGAGCTGCGCCGGGCACGGCCCCCGGGCGGCCGCACCGCGGGGCGAGCGGCGGGAGCTGCCCGGGGCCGGCCAGGTGCTCCGGAGGTCTCGGGCTCCCGCTGCCGTCCCGCTGCTCCCGCGTGTCCCCGCCTGCCGTCGCGGTGCTCCCGGGGGTCCCCGGCCCCGCTGCCGCCGCGGTGTTCCCCGCACGGGATCGAATGTAGGTTTTCGTACCCGCTGTGTGACCGCAGAGTTCCGAGCCGCGCTCCCGCCGGCCGCTACCGGGGAGCGGCGGAGCATCCCCGGCCCGCACCGGGAGCGCGGCTCGCGGGGCTCCGGCAACTTTACGCGGTGTTTGCCCCCGCTCTCCCGTCGGAGCAGTGGGAGCAGGGGCCGGGCAGGGGCCGGGCGGGAGCGGTGGCCCCGGGGCCGGCTACCCGCGCTGCCCGCGGAGGTGCCGCCGGCCGTGCCTCGGGCTCGCTGCAGTGCCAGAGCAGAAAGTGCTCTGCAGGTGCCGGTTACCGACTGCAACCGCCGGGGCTCGGGCTGGGAGAGCTGGGAAATGAAGTGTCGGCACAATAAAATTAATGCTGATGCTGAACCCGGGCTGTTTCAGCACAGGAGAACCCTAGCTGATGGCTCGAGCCTGCTCTGGTCCATTCCCCCTCCCGGCTGGCGCTCCGGAGGCATCCCCAGCTCACCGGCGGAGAACGGGGTGCTTCTCAAGTGCCTGTGTTGGCCCCGTAGACCTTTGTACTCTTTTTTTTTTTTTTCTTTAAACAGCCTTCTGCTCCTTGTTACTTTTACATTAGTCATTGCTTCCAGATTCGACTGTTTGAAGGAAAAGGTGTGGTTGGACTGAGAGCAGTAGCATTGCATGAACCAGCTTTTCAGTTTTTACAGCATTCTGATTTTTTGATAACTTGGAGTTTAGAGATTAGGAGACAACAAGGATGACAACGTTTTCCCCTTAATTAATAACTATATTTTTGAGGTAAATAAATTGTTCACTGTCATAAAAATATGGGAACCTACTAAATATACTTGTTTAGCTTATGCAGAGACATTAATTCAGTCTTGTCCATCATGTTTAAGGTGGAGGGAGTGTGTTTTGAGAGCTTTTTGTTGGCACTTGTCTTCTGTAATGTTTCTGTTAAACACTACAATGTTACATGTAAACGAATGTAACCTGACTGTGGAAAGCAGATTGCAGTAACTTTCTCCTTCTGTTGAAATTGCTTTTGAAGGGCCTTATTGCTACTGGAATGAGTTGCTATTAATATTTTTAATTAAGGTAGAACAGCTGATGGGCCTTTTCCAGTAAAAACTATGTCTTTTTCCCTTTCATCTTGTTAGATGTTAAGGATAAATTGCAGTACTAATAATAAAAGTTCTGCTATAAAACGCAGTTGGAGCAAGTCTAGTGAAAGAGTAATCTTCTATAAGAGGGGAGAATTTGTTCTAGTTTTTCTTAAAATTTCAATAAGATAACACCTTTTGGAGTTTGCTTTTTTTAACAGTAGTGCAGGATCCCTTTACAATGAACGTGATTTCAGTCACACAATGAAAACAAGGGAAGCAATAGGATATGTTACTTTTCTTATAGCAGTTTTGTGTAGTAGCAAAATAAGATCTATAATGCATTTTGGTGTATTCTTTATATTGAGTGATAGTATGTGCTACGTACAAATAATAGTAATCTCAATTAGTAATGTGTGTCTGGTGCTTAGTGTAGAAATCTTCATGTACTGTGAGAGAAGCCTCTGTGGAGAAACACCCTGCATATTAACAAAACAGGAAACGTAAATAAAAACTTCATGTACTTCTGCTTCACTTTATGTAGGTTATTTAAATACATTAAGTACAGATGAAAAGCAATTCTGAAAGATGGGACTCCGTGAGTAATGTTTTAATTTTGTTGTGGGGTATTTTTTCTTTCTTAGTTGTGATGCTGAAAATTAGCAGGTCCTGCAACATTGGGTTATTTGTCTGGTGCAGGAAAGCAGTGACTGGTTCAGGGAGCTCAGTGAGCCTAATGAAATTGCAGTGAGTGTAATCAAGAGTAGTTGGCTTTAGTACCAGGATGTGCTTATTGTAATATTTTACAGAAAAGACCCCTAAAGAGCAAGCAGGTCTGTATTGCTCTCAGTTACTTCCCTGTCATTTGCAGTGGGATCAGGGGGTCTGGGTTCCAGGGATTGCTCTGCAGGAGTAGCTGTGCTCCTTTCCAGCTGTTGCCAGTGTGGTTGGGCAGAGCAGTGCCCAGAACAGGGGGCTTTTCTGAATGGGCTGCGAGGCTCTGTTCTGCTGCCGTGGCCTGGGAGCCCAGAGCTGCAGGAGTGCAGGAGTTGGAGAGGCTGCCCGGCTTCAGAATGGTAACCTGGTGTGCCAGGAGTGGGTGGGACACAACTGGAAACAGCTGCTGCAGGAAGAATGTGTTTCACCATCTCGTACAAGTGCGTGGGCATCTCCCGAGGAACCCGTGCTGGTGCAGGTCAGAATTCTGGAAGTTCAGCAGCTTTAGTTGGGTTTGGGGGGTTTTTCTCTAGTGAAAGTAAGACAGCAAATCCTTATGAATATGGCATATACTGTCACTCTACAAGTAAACTGGTTCAAACTTCAGTAATTAAGTAGGAAAAAGAAAAAGACCTAACAGAGCTTTATGTGCAAGTGACTGGAAAGCTGGATCTGAAACTGGGCTCTCGGAACGACCTGTAACTATCACTTGCTGCTGTTCCAGCCTTGACTGCAATGTGCTGTCATTGAGGCAGTTCCACTGCTAGTGAAGATGGAGAGCAAATATGTAACCACAGCCGAGCCCAGAACCAAAGCCTGTGGAATGGCCCTTCCCGAGGAGCAGGATGAGCTGGCTCTGGCAGCAGCACTTGGAGTGGAGCTGGAGGGGCTGCCAGCACCAAGAGCTCTCTGGGCACGCTTGGGAGCTTTGCTGATTCTCAGCTGCTTTTCCTGAGGCCTGTGAGATGTCCTAGTTCATTGGATAACTTCTCATGTTCTTTTATCCAAACGGAATACTCATTTATTCTGCTCAGGGAAGGTTTGCAGAGGGAGGGGAAGACATGGATGCAGACAGCCAAAAACTGCCTCTGGTGACCTTGCCAAAGCTTTTACTTGCTCGGAAGAAAATCACAGTGTCTTGTCAGTTAAATCTCTGCAGCTGACAGCAGCGTTCAGACCTTTGCTCCGCTCCCTCTCGCTGCTCCTTTACTCTGAGGCGGAGGAGAGAGACCTGGATTTCGGGAGGGAGGGAGGAAGGAAGGAAGGACTCCTTGGCTTTCACGGGAGATGAATGAGTTTGTTTTTTGATGATGGAGTCCCCGACACTGTCGTTAAAGGGGAAGGCTGGAGGAGAGAGGGCTGTGCGTGGTGTCTCGGGACGCGGTGGAGCCGGCGCGTGTCCCGGGGTCGGGGAGGTGACTCGGGCTCGGGCTTGTCCTCCTTTCGGGCTGGGCTGTGAGTCAGCCCCGCTTCCTGGAGAGCGAGCGCTGGCTGCTGCGGGGGCAGCGCCGGGAACCAGCCCGGCCAGTTTGCTGCTGCCTTTCCTTCGGGAGGGGAGGGCAGAGCCTTCGGCTGGGGCCCGGCAGAATGGCTGTGCCTGTCTGCACCTTCCTAGTCCTCTGCATGGCATCCTGCTCTTGCGGGCAAACGGAGACAACTTTGGGAAGTTTGTGCACGGTATTTTTAAACGAGATGCCTTTTTAACAGAATTTTTTTTTAAAGGGCATACTTTTATTATTCATGTGTTTTTCTCCTGTTATTGTAATTTTAAGATATTGTGGTTACAAAAGAAAAGGAAATTGCTAAGAAATGTCTTGATGACCAACTCTTACAGATCTTCCTCCCCTTTTTTACTTTGTGTAGCATTTTAGAGAGTTCTTACCTAGCACTAGGAATTGAAGACAGGTCAAATTCCTGTTTAATGGCTTTTAAAAATCATTTTAAGTATGCCTTTATTTTAGTAGAGGAAATGAAACTGGGAGTTGTTACTTTGTTTGAGAGTGATTGATCCATTATTCAAGAAATAATTAAAATTAAAGCCCCCTCATGTAGTGTTTTAACTGAAATGTGGTGTCTTTTTGTGAACCTTAAATCAATGTTACAGCTGATCTAATGTTCTGATTGGTATTGTGATTAATTCATTACTAAAGAGGAGAAAGGAATCTATTGGAAACCCTTTGAAGGTGTACAAGCTGAAACTTGCTTTCTGCATCACAGCTCGGTGGGGGGATTTTTGATGTGTTTACTGTTTGTGCAGCCGTGGGGTGGTGGTTGTGGGCAGTGAATGAAATTCCCCCGTGGCTGTGGGATCCTTGGGATGTGCCCCTGTGCAGGCTGTGGGATGAGCTGGCCTTCAGGGTAACTGAGTTCATGCAGAGCAGTTTAGGGCGCCGGGTCCCCACTCTCTGATGAATGA